AGGGTATGTGCTATGGTGAGTGCCGTGAATTGTGTAAGACGGTTGAATCACAGACCTGTACCTCTGAAACAAATAATACATTATATGTTAAAAAAAAAAAAGAAAAAAAAAGATCAAAAATGAATTTGAGATATTAAGTATGTTAAAAGCTAAATCAACTTAAATCAAAAATTTTTACTTGACATTCATTTGTAACCTTGAAAATGGCACATATTTCATGTGCATGTGCGCATTTGAAATTTTTGATGGAAAGAATTCCTAACTTCAATCAAATTATCAAAGTAATCACACAAAATGCTTAAAAATTATTTTCTCAATCATTTCTGGATTGAAGTACTACAATGCCCACTTCGATCAAATATGAGCTAAAGTGTTGAGACTTAAAATAAGCTCATGACAAAAGATTTCAAGAAGCATCAGGTTTAGTCAATACAGTATGGATGATACCTGCATAGCAGTAGTCTCATGACTCCTGGGTACAATTTCTGACATCCCAGCCCCTCCGCACTAAGGAAAATGGTGGTCAAGGGAGATGGGACTAAGTGAACATGGACCACCTCAGCTCAGAAAAGCCATGAACTCAGAGGTACCTCAGGAAGACATGACTAGTTCCCATTCTCTACTATATTGCAACAATCCTGGTTACTCTTCACTTTATCAATAATACCTACAATAACAATGCTGCCTGGCTCAGTACATGGTCCTTAGCCAGATTCTCATTTATCTTGAAGTCCATGTACTCTCATTAATGTCTTGACATAGGATTACAAGGAGGATACACCAAGTTATTGGTCCACTGGCCAGGAGAAGAGATGGAAACAGATCTTGAAAGATTAATAATGCTGCCTTGTTGCAACAAACTCCTCTATCATTGTCAAGCCAGAAAGAGGACTAGCCTTACCAAAAAGGAGTGGGCCACTTCTGCTTTCTCAGAGACTTAAGATGATATGGATATTAAAGATTTTCAGGTGCATAAACCCAAATATCCTTATCACATGCACAGAGTTCCTTTCTTCCCTAATCAGGGTTCTTTCCCGACCATTACAGACCTGTCTAGGCTGAGAATGTAAAGTTTGTTGAAGCTCTTTTATGCTTACGGTTAAGTTCTGGACGTGACTCTCAACTTTTCCTCACCTAAAGCTACAGGGATGCTGTGACCTATTTATATGACCCCAGAAGGTCCACTGGCTTTTACTCCGAGCTTTTAATTGATGATTCGTCACCTGCCATCTTTTACTATCTTCCTCAGAACATCAATGACCCCCATCAACAGGTATTTTCTTTTTAATTACTGTATCTCCTAAATGTCTCACAGATCTTAGATTTGTTCCCTAGTATAATATTCAGTTCACCACCAGTGAAAATTTGAGCAACAACATTCCTACCTTGGGCTACTGTCTATTCATACTCAAACCAACTACCAGGAATTCTCCTTGCCAGCCTCTGGCTGTTGATAGTTCCAAAATTCCTTCACATCTTCTTTCTGGACCCATACCTAGCACTGTCTATAACAAATTGAATTTCCTGGTATGCAAACTCTGAGGTGGATATGAGTACAGTGAGCTTACTGGGGTATGTTCGTGAAGGGTAACAGCAGGAAATAAAATTGGGCTGAGGAAGAAATTGGACTACAGTGAAGTCATACAAGGCCTCCTCCATTCCCACGAGGGGTTATGAAGCAAGAACGGTCCTTCAGAGCTGCCCCAAGTTGGGACATGGAGCCAGGTTTATATACTCTCACAATAACCAGTAACATGTTTCAGAAGAAAGCATTAACTCCAGGAAAAGTGGCTCTCTTTGGCTGAAGGCAACTTCCAGAGAATTGGCAGATGAGGCTGTGCTATAATCTGAATATTTAAGTACCCCCCAAATTCTTATGTCAAAATTCTAACTGTTAAGGTGATGATTTTAGGAGGTGGAGTCTTTGGGAGGTGATCAGGTCATAAGGATGAAGGTCTCATGAATGGGATTAGTGCCCTTGTAAAAGAGACCCCAGAGAGCTAGTTTGTCTCTTGCACCACATGAAGGCACAGCACCATCTATAAACCAAGAAATGGACTCTCACCAGCCACCATACTGAATGTGCTGGTGCAAAGATCTTTGCTTTGATTTCCCAGCCCCCAGAACTGTGAGAAATAAGTATTTGTTGTTTATAAGCCATCGAACATATAGTAATTTTGTTACAGCAGCCCAAATGGACTGAGATAGGCTGTGACCCCGCAGCACTCCAGCAACAGATGGAATCATTCCTTTAGTTCTGTAAAGTAGTATGAGAGTACAACATAGCATACACTAAAATGGTGCAATTAAATTAACTAGTACAGTCGTCAGTGACCAAAGGTTTAATAGTTCTGCTCGTTGATGCCTAACTAAATTAGACCTAAGGATCCTTTTATTTTCCCATGATTAGAAGAAAGTAACTATTTAGTTAAGAAAATTGATAAATCGTTCAGATGGTATGAAACAGAACCAACATATATGTGAAAAAGAAATGAAATG